ACGTTTGCCGCGGCAAGTGGCTGCCGGCCATCGGCCCCTCCAAGACCAAACAGGTACTGGCCGATGATGGACACCATAGTGCCTGTCTGCCCGTACTGTGGCATCACCGAGGTTATCTGCATCGCCGGTGCCAGGATCCATAACACGCTGACATTCGCCTGGCTGGCACTTTCTAACCGAATCGCCACACTCGTCTGATTGGTGACGGTGACATTGGGAACGAGGAATGAGATCAGATTGCTAGAGCTGCTCTGCACTGCTACCACAACGCCAGCAAACACGACTGCAGAGATGTTTGCTAATGAGTCACCACACTGCGGCGGAAAGCAGCCCTGTAACCTAACTAGAGCTCCAGGCTGGCCCGACGCTGGCTCTACACTGGAGATATTTAACGCTGCACAAGAACATAGGAAGGTACAGTATAGTACGTTATAGTATAGTTTTTTCTTCGGTATAGTACAGTATAGTATAGTACGGTAGCCGGCGGTGTTCGTAGTGTGCCTGTCATACAGTGCACCACATGGACCTGGGAGCTAGAGAAACCTGTGCTCCTCAAACACTGCCGCCATAAGGTGTGCAGGTACAGTCAGTATCACCTATAGCGTTGGTGTTTGATTTTGAGCATTTTATCACTACAAGCGATATATTACTATGACCGATACTGCATGCAATGTATGCGAGTGGGGTGTCAAACGACTCAGCGCGCCATGCACATCCGCACTACATACATGTACAATGTCATGTAGCCGGCTGTAGCTCCTGACACAGAAAATCAGCATTTCCTCACGATGGAGGCATATTTTGGCAACTTGTACGAGCAAAACTCACCAAACAACACTCACTGGACAAGTTCTTCATGAAGAAGTAACACCCTGTTCTCCTCTAACACCGCTTGATTTTACATCAATCACTATAACCGATGCAAAATAATGTAATAAAGGTCTTTTGAAATATGAATTTGATCACTATAGGCGATATATTACTATAGACGATTATTACTATACGCGATAACTGTGTATACTAAGTTATGGCAAATGAAAATGAATTTGAGAAATTGATCACTGTAGCCGGTATATTACTATAGCCGCCAACCTTATAGGCGATACGGACTGTACATTGTATAATTAAACGTTGCGCTTTGTCGTCGGTTAGATTTCACGGAATTCTGTTCGCAGAAAACGTTCGTGGAGGTTAAGCAGCATTTCCTGTATTTTTCGCACACGTTGTGTAATTGTATCCGCACAAACCAGTCTAAGCACACACGGAGGAAAGAGAAAGTAATCGCTGCGAAGCACTGCAAGTTCGCTTTGAATTTTTCCAATTTTCGCACTTACTGAAGTAGTTTCTATACTCGTTCCTAGACTCAGATTCACTTGCAATTTCCTCGTTGCTTAGTTAACATCATTTTCTTCCTGATAGGCTTCCTCCCAGCAAGGCAGCAAGGATCCCTAGATGTTGGAGCTCCCTCCTCCTCCTCCTCTGCGGGTAGCTAACTAGACTTCCAAAGTTCCTAACACTGCCGGAACCCGGAACCCACCCTTATTCACATGACGTAACTTATATCTAGGCCCCCGTGTAATATGCCGGCATTTTTTGAGCATTTTCGGTACAATCCGCGAACCCAGCACTTTGGGCTCGTGATGCAGCATTTTGGGGGAAACGGAGCACTTGGCCGTTGTGTATCAAAATTGAGAGAAGAAAAACTTCCCAAACAAGAACGTCACTTCCGCATTCCGTGGGTTAGCTTCTTGTTGAGTAGTTTATGAATTGAAAATAATGGTTTTGACCAGGGAGTCGTAAAATACCGGTATTTTCTGACTCCCTGGTTTTGAGTCTTTTGACGGCGTGTGCTGAGGGTTACAAAAAGTGAGCATTTTCCGAGCATTTTCGGCAAGGTTTGGGAGCATTTTCGGCAAGGTTTACGAGAATTTCCCAAAAGCATTTTCGGCAAAGTTTCGGGCATATTACACCGGGCCCTACTTATATCAGCCGAATCAGCAGGGTGTGTCACGTGATCGTCAAAGCTAGCCTGGTCAGCCTATGAGCACACCCCCGGATGGTTCAATGCATGCAGGGAGAAAGCCCAAGGCCCTTGACCATAGCCATGTCTGGCTGTCTGAGCCTAGAACACATAATTCAATCACATATACCGGCAGTATTATACCCTGGATTCGCACCAAACATGCTGCAAGGTTTACAGAACTACCTGATGCCAAAGCTGCAAAGCCAGTCCATGGCTTGGGCCAGGCTACAACCTTTGTATGACATTCCATACTGCAGGCATTGCCAGCCAGACTACGTGACCTCATGGCGTGGTCACTACGCCATTATACCAGCTCAGAGTTTGCAGGTCCAGGCCTGAGCTGGGCTGGGCAGTACCGACGGGTGCTGACCGACTCGCGGGACTGGATTTCGCGGACTAGCAATACAGTATATTTTCACCGCCCTGTGGGCCATGATCCTAGCGCGGCAGAGCTCACCGGCCTGGCCAAATCCGTAAGCCGTCAGCTAAGAAGCCACGTCAGCATACATATTGGGAACCTGGTTCCTGCAATACCGAGCCTAACAACTAACAACTGGAATTACTCACACAGACATGCCTGTGCGCTGTAGCAATCAGTTTAACAAATGCTTCCTGTTCTGTTTTCATTCATCCTGCAGTAACAATAATATTATCATGTTACATGACGGTTCCCCTACGTTTCAAAGTGGATGTATGCATCCAAGAAATGAAGGAGAGAAATCCGGACAGACCTGCAGTAAAACTACAATGTGTAACGTGGTTACAAGGGTGACGTTTTCATGCGCCACTGAACCACTGAACCACTGAACCAGTGAACCACTGAACCAGTGCCGCATAGCACAATTGTGAAAGTTTGTTTAGTCTTACCTGGTAGAAAGTTGAAGCCTGTCGTGATGTTCAGGGTGAAGTTCCCGCCGGTGCCTCGTGATAGCAATTGCAGGGTGACCACACCGTTGAATGGTGCCGCTGGTAGCGTAGTCGATAGGAGAGAGCTATTCCGCCTCGTTACCGGAACGACAAAAGTCGGATTACTGCCCGCAAAGATAGCTACCTGCAATGTATTGCTGCTGCTGGTAACAAGACTACAGTTTCCATTCAGGTACACGTTTATCGTGGATCCAGCCGAGCCCTGGGACGGACTTGCTGTTGGTTGGCAGACTGAAGAGTTGGTGGTCTGCCCATTGCCGAGTCCAACGCTTACCAACAGGCACAGGGCGTGCACAAGTGCTGCTAGAACCGTTGCTGCGCCAACGACGGAGCGCTGTGGTCGATGTCCGAGCATGACTTCTCACTCTCAGCACCCGACACAGCCCGCAGGAGCTCAGCTAGCCAGCATAACGCCACTACAGAACGCCGGTAAGGAAAGAGTTGTAGTTTTCGGAGAACTAGAAATGATTCAATGCACCGTTTCTTTGAGGTCAGATTAGTCGGGTAAGATTACGAAGAACACATACGTATACATGTAGGCTCAAGAACACAGTTCTGTGGGACACGAGGTAGGTCTACTCCTAAACACGCGAGGTCCTAGCACTAGCAGTAAACCATTGTAAACTCCCGGGCTTGGCTAGGTTGGTCCCCTTCAGTTCACTGTTCAGGCTTCATTTCAACCAGGCACTCCCAAGTCCCAGATCGCGGACCCGCAAATCGGTGTGCACCGAGTATGCAGCGAGGCAAGATACGAAAATTAATGCATGCACCATGCACTGCAGTCATGTATCCTGCGTGCACACAGCATACACAGCCTAGCAGATGACATTGCACACGGAATCAGTGGATGGTCAGTGTATGTAGCGGTCGCAAATTTTGGGATGGTCTGCGGAAATGACATTGTGTTGGACTTGGAGTTTAGTTGTGACCTATCCGACATGGGCAAACAAAACAGGGATGGGTTGGTCCAGCCTGTCATATGCGTCTAGTCTGCCGTGTCATGAATAGTGGAGCACTTGTTTCCATCCAGGATGCCCAAGATCTGGTGATCAGAAGAATCAGGCGACGTGGATATGCTGGGATGTGATTTGGCATGCACGTGACAGCATGGTGACAACATAAACACCCAGTCTCTGTGGAAAGCGGGCATGTCGCAGAGCATTCTTAGACTTAGGAGAAAGTTGACAGATGCCAGATGGGTGTTAGCATAGCCGGAATAGCCGGAGCAATACAAGTGTTTGGAGATCAGGGACGGTCGGCACCTGAGCTTAGGGCGAATCTTGCGGCATGCGCCACACTGCCATGCACACGTACACACACACACACATGCACACCGGCACACACACACACACACACACACACACACACACACACACACACACACACACACACACACACACACACTAATACTTGGCCATTGTGCATGCCGCACTCGCGTTTGGAAAAGGGGAAATAAGACTGTTGCAAAATGACCGGCCAGCAGCACATGGACACGCCATTGCTCCGGGCGGGCTCGTTTTACAGCTGACAGGTTGGCCGGCAATCATCTGCAAAAGGGTGTCTCGCATGACAAGCGACATATGCTTTCGTCATAGCCGATGGGTGCAGCACTGACTGAACACTACTAATACTATCTGATGTCGACTGTCCTGTGCTGGTGCATGCACCATCCACATGCTGTGAATGACTGACCTAGCTGCAGTACAATTACTTGCACACTCCTCAAAGCACCTATAGCATGCACTCGTCAGCGATCGGACACAGTGCTGAGGCACAAGGTGGCAGTTGCGGGGGCAGATTTACAATGGTGTTGCTGGCGTGGCTTGCCACGGCTTGCGACCTTCGGTGAACAGTCGCCGCTCAGGACGCCAGATTTGGACCGGACCAGTCAGTGCTTAAAGCAGGCCGGATTGGCGCGATCTACAGTGTACCAGTATCTCTTCAACACTGGATACGGATTGCCTGCACATGGCGTATATCGTGCTGTCATGCCACTATCCGCATGCTTCTGATGTGCATGGTCCAGGTGCATGTGATCTGCTTGTACTGCGAAGTGTATGTACATTGTACACTATAGTGCAGTTTATAACAGTGAAACAAGTGCTGTACTTCAAAGTAGATACGGGAATGAGCACGAGAGTTATAACTTCTTAGCATACTCCCACATCAGGACTTAGTTTGAATGCGCAAACTCTCCCAAAATTTGAAGAAGAAAAATGCTCATAATAAGTGCAGTGTGCTTACGCGCTCTGCACAACACCGGCATCTAAAATCCTCGTGCGTAATGTACTATTTGGTTTTTAACCAGATGGAGAACTGGTAAATGCAACAATAACAGAAAACGAAATCACGCTTACTCGTTAGTGCTGAATTCAGCAGTGAAGAAAATAGAAGGAGAAGAAGAAAAGAAGGTAAAACAGAGGAATGATGTATGATCACCGGAATGTTCAGATGTGTGGTGTAACCAAGAGGCCACAACCCATAGACCCCGAGTTCTAGAGTGATACATGATTGTGTTGTCATTATCCCTTGGTAATCCAGCAATTGCGGATAATCACGGTAGCAAGTAAGACTAGCAACCCAAGCTGTTCAATCTCACCGTGCACTATGGAAAAGCGAGACTCCCAAACATGAAAAAGACAAAAAAAACAATCGTCATTAATAAGTTCAATGGATTGAGAAGCGGGTAAACAATGATCTCCCATAAAATGTGTGTGACCATCTTCTTTCCTGCTAAAGCCAGGATAATTAGACAGTCGGACGACCTCCCTACTCCTGCAGAGTTTCCACAGCAAGGTAGTGTGAAAAGGACCACTACAACTCCCCCATTATATTTGATGTGCACTACATTCCCTTCTTGGGTGCAAGGCGTCATTCTCGACCATTTCAAAGTTTGTATCGTAAATTTGGTTATGATTGTATGAAGAGTGCATGTACCGGGCAAGTGAAACTGGAGGAATGCCCCATAATGAGCGACTATGACTGGAGATGGACCATGGGGTGCGTGACCGTGAGCAAAGCTCAAATCATAAGATCTTCTCACCGGTTATACCGGCACATTCTTTCCCGGAAGGACCCCGTTTGTACACTCGTACACAGGGGAATCACATAGCTCACGCACTTGAGTCCGACGGCTAAGTCACAGAGATTCCTTGACACACTCTACTTGTACAGTAGAGCCGGCAGTTCTTTCTTGGTTGTCTGCTCTCCTCCCTGCCCTGGATTCAGGAATGCCATGCAGAATGAAGTGAATTAGTTATCCATGATATCAAGGCTCAGTACCATACCCACTTGATTTGAAGACAGGGTAACAATAATACAAGTACATTGTACTTTCTACACATTTGTGCAGTAAAACTCCCCTGATCCGGACTCCCCCAGCAGGCCAGGGAGCCCTACACATACATACACAAATGTGTAGGGCTCCCTGGATTCCCGAGATCCGGGCATCTTCGGTCCTTACCCATCATGATTATCAGGACTCACAAAACCGGGATTTTTCGATGGAAATGGCCCCATATATTATTGATAAGCGTAAAAACGTGTTTACTTGCATACACTAAGTGCATTATGTTCTGAGTTGCTGGTAACTCCTAACTGCGGACAGTGCCCGGAAAAGGGGAGCTCTACTGTACCCGTATTCCAATCACTAGACCTGCGGTAAGTATGAGGCAACTGCCGGTATCAAAAATTTGTGAACAAGAAGGTTCTATAAGCCCATTGCGCAATGACATACATGTAATAGGGAGGTTTAGTTCCCACGTAACGGAAACGCGTACATGGGTGATCCATGTAAAGTGGATGAAGGGCACCCACGTTGCAATGTTGTGTTTAGTCACACGGAACAAACAAAAGCATAAAGTGAAAGGCCCAAACCTGGTCAAAGACGAAGCTACCCGAAGCTCAAGAAGAAGAAGAAGCTCATCCAATATTTTGATTTCGTGCTTCGGAAACTTCTTCAGCTGAGCACCCTCACAGCTCGCACAATGCGCTCCATTCTGATTTTTACCCACGTTCTGGCGGAACGTGGGTGAGCCTCCATACACGGTACGGTATGTCGTGAATCAGAAAACGTCTGTACGTGGGTCACGTCACTGCGTATCACGTGGTACACACACGTAAAGTACCCACGGATTACGTGGGACTAAACCTCCCTAATTTGTACCATGAACACCCTTCAGGCCTTCACAGCCACCTGGGCATGGTCGTCTGGGGTGTTGAACAGCGCATTGCTGATCTCAGTGCAGCGTACTCACATGCATTACTCATACCTTCCATATTTGGCAATGCACAATGGGCTTATTGGAGCGGGGCTGAAATTATACTAACACGAGGCAGGCTCAAACCTACTGTAGTATTCCAGAATGCCACTTGTCACTACATGCGTAGCTGCTACCTGGACATGCCATGCTAGTCTACTACTACTACTGCCTGCATCCGAGCAACCTGGAAACGCTGCCACCGCCTTCCTCACAAGCCCACTGCAGTGCACGATAACAAACGTAGAGGCATACAAACAATGCTGTCGGTTAACACACAGTGGGGCTGTCACGAAAATCCTGGCAATGTGCACATAAAACAAAAACAACATTTAACACTGAGCTCCCTGTGACAATACAAGATCACAGAGCATTGAAACTGTGTGTAGCCCAGTAGGCAAGTACACTTACTTGGCAGTAAACAATACAGAAGAAAAGCCAGAGATTGAAAGTACATAGAAACTAATTGGTTGAACGAGCAATGCACGCTCGCAAGAAAGCCAGAGAGCAGTGCGAATCAAGTGCAATAACATCAAGAACACACTCGACCACCAGCATGCACAAGCTCATGCACATATGTACACAGAAAGTAGCTAAAAAATATGAATCGACAATCACAAAAACCAGCACAGCGGGTCGGTTAGTCGTTAGGGGCAAAGGGTACAGAGATGCGAGTACGCTGTTAGATAATCCAATGGCGAAGCAGAGTCCTAAAAGTGCACATGTTCAAAAACGTCACGCATCATTTCATGACGATGCATACCGTGGTGGCAATATAATGATACTGTGATTCTCATGTGCATGCTTCTATGATGCGCACGGCGATAGCAGTTGATTGATGAATGCACAGAGATATTCGGTCCCGGTTGTCATACCATTTGTAGAGAGAGAGAGAGAGTTACCAAGTCCAGGTGGAAGGTGGTGATAGCAGTAGCCGCGGCAGTAGCAGCAGCGATGCTCCGGAGCATGTCACGTGGCCAGTGCAAAGACACTGACGATGCAGTACATTGTCTTGTTCTCCCACCGAACTGTGCAGCTACCTGGAAGGCCACACGGCACACACCAGTGCTGCTTCAGAATTCAACAAAACGGCGGCACCAACGCCCGTTATCCCACTCTGTACGGTGACTTTAGAATCCCACCGTCATTGGATTGCAAAAAAATAATTAAAAAAGCTCAAATTTTGACCCAATCATTACGGTCAGAAGCAAGATCCCCAATTATTTTTGAAGCTGGTGTGGACATCCGTCTGGTATAATCATGACATTTCACAATGCACACTGTCCTGAGGATAGGCATAGTCTTGATGACCACTGCAATTACATGAGATTATAAATATGTCCAATTCGCACACCAGGCATTTGACTGATTGCATGTACAGTCAAATCTGCCGTTAGCGACCTCTGCTGTAGGCGACCATCTACCGTTAGCGACCGATTTTCCGTGCACCGACGGTTTCACATACAAACTGATCTGTCCAGAGCGACCATCTGCTGTGCGCGACCAGCGACCGCGATTTCATGCACGGTGGCTGCATTCAAATCTGCTGTAAGCGACCGCGACCCAGGTTCAGGTCCGAAACTGTACTTGCCAGTGCGCTGTAAACTGCAAAGTGTGAAAATGCGCTGTCTTGCAAGTGCGATCGACTGGCGCCTGGCCTGTAGGCTGTACTGAGGCTGTGCTGTAGCTCTCAAGTCCAGGCGCTAGGCAGTGTCGATCTACTGCCCTGTCGCATACGCGTAATACGGGTATGGTCGTCGTTGAATATCCAATAAAATGATATTAAAAATCACATTATTCTCGTCGATTTGAGTACATGGAAGCATATACCTGGTATGCCGGATTTACCATACATCTGCCGTAAGAGACCATCTGCCGTAAGCGACCGCTTTTTCTTGCACCAAGGGGCGGTCGCTAACAACAGATTTGACTGTACTTTGAAGCACTGCAGAGGCGCTTATTCGCGGTTGTTCAGGAGAACACTGCTTGTTCTGTTGTGCATCGTCATTTGTATGTATTCTGATATAGCACAGTGTTCCATGTAGCTTCTAAATAATATAGGTGTTTGGACGTCGACGGAGAGTTGGTTTGTAGTTCCTGCCATATTGAGTACTTCTGCAATATTGGCCGGTTTTGCCTTCGCGCATTGACGTGCCAGACGGCGACCACCCGGTGGTTGGCTGAGCGGTTATCTACGGGTTTTTTTTGTTGTCCGTTTATTCTGTGCAGCGGAATTGTTTTACTGTATTGTTTATTCCCATTGTTTCCTTTCGTCTGTGTTTGGCTCCTGATGTGCTGCCTGCGTGCTTTCAACCTACCATAAGAATCGCTGCGCTCTCATCATTCCATCCGAAGCATTCTTGCAGTTGTTGCTGGAGTCGGTGTTAAGTTTATTTCTGGTACTTGTGTGAAAAGATCGAAGAACAACACCTATCGAAAGGCGTGTGTCGTACGAGTGTCTACAGGGAATTTATTAGCAGTTAGAAACTGGATAGAAGGGGCGTTCTCCATCACTCCGAGGCCTTGTTGCTGTGGATTGCCGATAGCGGATTCAGTGGATCTCGTCATCCTTCGATACAGCGGTGGCGCGTAATTCGTCGTACTCTGGTTTATATATTTCTTCTTCTACGGAAATAGGAGCCCATAGAAAAGGGTGTGTTATTTAACAGTATGCGTTTTTATCCTGTTTAGGCCACACCAAGTTACTTCTATGTTTCGCGTCACCCGCCCGCGTACCTTTTCAAATCCTTGACAAGGAAAAAAGAACCTAGACGAGCCAATCAATGGCTGTTCTGACGAACATTCTCTAGCCAGTATGGCAGATCAGAGTTTATTAGCTTCTCGATAATCTTGCATTCCAGGCGATGGTACGTAGAAGGTGCGAGAGATTAAAATTTCTATTTTTCCAAGCCGTGCGGTAGGCCTTGGACCTGCTCACCAAGCGAGCAGAGATTCCAGGTGTCAAGGACTTCGAGATTTTCCACGATTGTGATGGAGCGGGATCGCACTCGACTCATATCAAAATGCAGAAGGAGCCATCCATGAAATCTCTGTATCGCTCCAGCCCAGTCTGCCAGCTGTCCTGTGACGACTTGTCATTTTGGATAGAACTGACAGTTTGGTAGTGGTATTCTGTGTGCAACATTGCTCAGTACACATAGAATGGAGTTTTGTTTTTTCTTCTGTTTTTGTTTTTTTTTCCGCCCGCCCGCGTGCCTTTTCCAGAAAATATCCGACGCGAAACATAGAATTAACTTGGTGTGGCCTTAGCATGTAAAAATGTACATGGAGTCACCAGATTTGCCCGTCTACAACCAGTCTACAACTGTAGTATTTGGTGAAGCAAAACAAGTCAGCACAAGTCACACCAGTAAACGTCGTACCATCGGTGGCGTTATCCCAGTAACACGAGCTGGCCTGGTGGAATCCTGCACCAGTCTTCTGCATGATAACACAGTTAACTGAAGAAGAAAAAAGAGGCAGACAGAAGTGCAAAGACGACGACGATGCACACGCACGCACACACAGACACACAAACGCACGGACCCAGAATTCAATCACATGAATTTGTGTCGGTAGTCTCGGTACCGGTAGCCTGTTGGTCATTGGTAACATTGTCCAGGGCAATGCATGCCGGTCAACGACAGTAAAGTCCTTATCCAATACAACAACCAATGTGCAAAGAGACCACGTATCTTATGAGACCAGCCATGACAACTACCAACCATGTCCCAACATACCTAGAAGTACATTGGAATTTTTCGGCACTTGAAGCCGGCTGTGACAGCTGGAATGAGTGCTCACCAGTGAAGTTCTGCCACGCGGTAAAACGTACCAAAGTACGTATGGAAAACTCGATGCCGTACGGGATCAAGTTTCACGCGGATTTTTTCATACCGTTTTCCGTGTGAAGCACGCTTCACACGGACTGGTCTCCGCGTGAAAACTGAGCGGACAGAGTACATGTGGCGGGGAGTTCGAGCCTGCTACGAACATGCTACATAGAGCAGAACCGGCGCAACGTACGAAAAATCAGTGTCAAACTTCACTGCAGTGGACACGGAGTTTGGTACGCAGTTCCGTGTAGCAGAACCTCTCTAATACCTCATTCACGACTCATTTTTTTTCAGAATTGCATCATTTTTCATGATGCATTCCACTGGACTGTACACAAAACCGCACGTGTGCGGACGATCTCGCATCGAATGTATACAGTAAAACCTGTAATGGCGACCACTCGACCATGGCGACCACTTTTCCTTGTCACAGACGCATTCACATTCAAAACAGCTCGGATAAGGTGACCACTCGCTTAACGCGACCAACGACCACCCACCCGCGACCGCGTTGCATCCTACTAGTACATGTACATGTACGCATTGCACTGTGCACCACACATGGTAGATCTACACATCAGCGCAGAAAGTGTAGAATGTACATGGTGCATGCACGATACTTGACAGGTCTGAGGCCCCCAGGCACATGAGTCGTGATAGTAGCATAGGTGTGTGCAGTGTGATGCACTGATCAAAACAATATATCGCATGTACATGTATAGTGAATGTGTTCACATGACCCACTGAATCTGGATAAGAAGACCACCTGGACAAGGTGACCACTTTTTCTCGTCCCTTGAGTGGTCGCCTTAGACAGGTTTCACTGAACATAGATCTAATGCATCACGAGAAATGACGCAATATTGAAAACGAGTCGTGACAGCTACTCGTCAACAGTAGCAAATTCTGGGGAGCTGTATACTCTTAATTCCAGTCTTATAAAAACAACAGGAAGACCACTAATTGAAATGCATACCGATATATTTGAAAGGCTTGCCAAGTTTCGTTAAGCTGTTCAAGCTTTGCTCAACCACCGCCGAGGACCACTGGTTGATACGGTTGTGCTGATAGTTTGAACCAGCCAGCAGCGGCTCAATAACCTAGAAACAACGACGACGACGACAACAACAACAAGCCATTGTGAGAATAAAGATTCGAAACAACAACAGCAACAGCAGCAGCAAAACAGCATGGATGCGTAGGTACAGTATGTGATCAGTGATATTAATTTTACTCTTGGCAATACTGGTGACCTCTATACGTCGAAGCAGATTTATAATACTTGAGTGTCACACATGTTGGTGATTCTGTGCACGTTAAACCAAATGATCTTGGTCCGAGGAGGCTGAGATCATCACTCTCGAGATATCACAAGTCAAATGTGAAACTTTCAGTATTTCCGAATTCCGGCTGAGCACGAAATGAATGACTTTGGAGCACACTTTTCTCGGTGCAAGATCATTCAACGCGAAAAGACAGCACTGCTCCATCAGGCACTGCAGGCGTGTAGCGTAACGTTCCAAGCGTAATGTCAAGATGCAAACATATCAGCACATTGCCCTCAAGACGGATTTATACATGTACATTATTTTTTAGACACGGCTATTTTCATTGCAAGTCTGCAGTCAACTGAGTGCTTCTTCTTTTTTCTTTTACATATTTCCACATAATTCCACATTGTGTGATGAGGTCGGCCAGAGAGCGCATGTGGTGCAGGTGGGATTGCTTTATTTCCACATTCATTAACTTGAGGGAGCTGAAAAGGGTCAAACGTCTGAAGAAAAGAAAAAGATTTCCACCAACATGACTCAAAGCAGTTCTACCACTTAACATTACATAGTTATGGTGCAGTCATCATCCCAGGAGCAAACGCTCAATATTTTCTCCAGACTTCGAAACTCACACTTCCTGTGACACTTACACAGACTGGTGGGACGCAACTTTTAAATGACAAACTGGTATTGTGAGTGTCATTCCGCTTCATTTGAGGAGAGGTAATTCAAAACATTTGTTTTAAACAAGAAAATAGGGCCGAAAGTCAACCTGTCACGGGACGTGCTTTATGCCTGGCGCCAAGAGTACATAACCCCCGGAGTGTGCAACGCCTGATCCAGCTCTGCATAGGGTCTTGGTTGAGCGTAGTCAAATCTTCTGATGTCGTGCGTACACTCCGCACCAGTGCAAGGCCGGTCTCGAGGCAGGGCACCGTTGTTTTCGATCCAAGAGTCCCCGCGACTCCCCGGGTTCCCCTCAGATGTGTAGGATGTTATGACGCAAAGATCCGATTACGCTCGACCAAGACCCTATGTAGAGCTGGATCAGGCGTTGCACACTCTGGGGGGTTATGTACTCTTGCCGGCGCTGATCGACATTGAACATCGCAACAGCTACATGTACTTCCTGTCGTGTTGCACGGATTGTGCCAGTACGCCCCAGCCTTCCCGGCAGGCTCTTACTTGTTAGGACAGTTACGTTGCGCCCCGTCAAACATGAAACAGGCTTGAACAAAAGTCCAAAACCAAGAGTACAGTCAAACCACGTTAGGACGAATTTCAAGGGACCGAACAAGTTTGCTTGTCTTATCCGGAGTTCTTTTTATCTAGATCTGACAAAAAATTTGATACGCATATCATATGGATTGTATTTATGTGAAGGTGCAAGCTGTGGCAAATGTAAAACATTTTTTTCATAACATAACCCAGCAACAGGTAAGTACAATGTGCAATGAATTCATGACAGCATGTCCTCCGCCTTGTAACATATTTTGCCAGTACAAGAAGCCTCGACTATCGAAAAAACTACAGCCAGCGCACCCACGGGGACTGAAAGTTCGCACTACACGCTGATTTCGTCCAAATCACGCTTGAAATTAGTTCGTCTTCACGAAAGTTCGTCGTACAGGAGTTCGTCGTAAACGAATAATTTTGACTTGATACGATGCCTGGCCCACCATAGGATTGGCCCTAGTTCGTACTAAAGGAAAGTTTGCCTTATCAGTGTTCGTCCTAATGGGATTTGACTGTATGTTACGGTATCATGAACACACGCGTTGCGCGCTGCCTTCATTTCCTAACATGCCTGTGCACAACACTTTGTGCTCATACGGGTCAAATCCTCAAACTCTCGTACCAACAACCAACCCACCAGCTTTCGCTTGACAAGTCCCGGCACAGTCCGTACGTTTCGGGTGTACGGACTCCAGTCCCGCCCGAAAGTTAGTTTCAAACCCCCAGAGAAAGTGTAGTTTTCGATGTTCCGCACTGCACGTAGACAATTCCTGTAAGAAGGCCTTAGGCCTGTGGGGATTGCCCTATCAAAAATTTAATAATAATAATTCCAGCATGTAGCCTGTGGTAACACGGACGTGCGAATATTACTCTCTTTTTGTTTAACGTATGAAGCTGCATGGTATGATGGAGGCAAAGTCCAGTGCCGCTGGCCCATAGAAAATTGATGACAATTGCATACTCCTGGTTATGGACTATTTATGGACTATTGGTGTAACGTATTGGTGCTTATGGTTGCATCCCAAAATAAGTTACAGAATCCTTACGTCCATCACCAGCTGCGTGACTTCCTCAGCAACAAAAGTCGCCTATGACACAGAGACAGAACAGTTCCATCATTGGAAATACATGGCCATACATGTACACGGTTCGACGTGAGTAGACAAATCACGGCAAATACGTCGTGCAGCACTGAACAGGGAATATCAAAAAATCATGTCGGTGTAACACACCTCTTCTTGTCCCTCGTCCATTGTAGAAGACGTCACGCAGAGCGACACAAGTCAAAGATCAGCAGCCCAGCAAACCCAGGCTGATGCCCTAATCCAAGTCGGCACACCGATGAATGATAATGTTGCAAACTAAAAAAAAGACGATGTTGTGTTTCTCGACTCGCTTTTCACAACCGTTCAAACTCTTGAAAACCAGCGATACGAAGCTCGTTCTGATCTGTGTCAGTGTGTGTGTTGTTGTTCGGCTTGACTCTGATCTGTGTTCACGTCACATACATGGGTGGCAAAAATGCGCACGAAAATACTGGCCGGGTAGATCCTGGTAGTGCTAGTGGTACACGTACACCATGCAGGCCGGGCATGCAGGGAGCTCCGGAGGCTCACACACTACATAGTGTTCAGCCATGGCAACGTGCTTTGTGCCTACTTGCAGGTCTCCCAGGTAACCGAGCTAAAGAGCATGAACGTGATGTCGGGAAACTCTAAAAAAGCCTGGTAAAATACCTGTATGACTATGAGTATGATCACTGATCTAGTGACATGATGCTGTACAGGCAGACAATTAAAATTGGCTCTCAGTCTGACAATCGTACTTTTTCTGGTGGTGTTTTGGTAGTGGGTCAAGAAATGGAGCAGAATTCAAGGAAGTGCCTGCCATACGAATTCTGGAGGCCAGGCCGGTACGCGGTAGGATCTATCCGAACTTCCCGGAGAGTATCATTGGCTGCATGGCATTTTTAGTATTGAATACCGGTATACAGCATAATCAGTGAAAGCGAGCAATGGTTCCTACATCAAGGCCTGATGCTAGCACAAGCAATGTATTTACTCTTGGTACTTGAGAGTGGGCTCATTCATAACCGGCCAATTCTTAGTCACATTTAGGGTACTAGTACCCTGTTAGAAGGCCTTAGGCCTGTGGGGATTTCCCTATCACAAATTTGATCATGAACACATGCAATAATAATAATAATAATAAGAAGAAGAAGAAATCTGCTGACCGAAGAACACGCAAGATTATGACTACTAGTATGCATGGAGCTCTCCATCCACGTGCTGATGTAGCCCGTATGTACATGTACGCCAGTCGCAAGGAGGGTGGACGTGGTTTGCAAAATATTCATGATGTTGTCACCATGGAGAAAAGCAATCTGCAGCGCTATGTGCTTCAGTCAGATGAGGACTCCTGAAGGTGGCTGCGCCCGTCATCTGTGGCCACATCTGGATCATCCAATGCCCCGCCAGACTCCTCGCAGGTGGTGAAGTGTCGGAAAGAACACCTCTTGGTGTGGACCCAGAAACCCTTGCATGGACCATTTGTCCGGCAAACAGAACAACTGACCAATGAGAACACCTAGAGTTGGCTGACAAAGCCGGCTGGTCTCAAGAAGACCACAGAGAGCCTGATCCGATCGCGACACAAGACCAGGCCTTGGCAACTAATCTGGTCAAGGCCCAAATCTTCCATCAGGGCGGAAGCCCCCTGTGTCGAATATGTGGGAAGTTGGGCGAGTCGGTTGCCCATATCCTATGCGAGTTTTCAAAGCTCGCTGGACGGGATTAGTTGGAGCATCATAATTGGCTGGCCTCTTTGGTCCACCTTTCGCTCCCGGTTGTGTACATGGGATACCATGTGAAGACAAGTACTACAAGCACCACTGTGATCCGGTGCTTGACCAGACCAAGACCAATGCAACGGTACAAGAGCATCCTGCACCCGAGGATAACATGTCTGAAGCTAGAGATACTTCAGACGCCAACATCTCTCCGCAGGACCAGAAGATCGAGATTCTGTGTGATTTCACCATCCGGTGCGATCGCTTCATTGAGCACCGACGGCCTGATGTTGTTCTGGTTGATGGACCTGCCAAGAAGGCCCTGATCATTGACATTGCTGTACTGGTGATCCACGCGTTGCTGAAAAGGAAGTTGAGAAACGTGCCAAGTATCAACTTCTTGCTCGCAAAATCCTTTGGCTATGGCAAGTTGAGACTCAGATTTTTCCTGTGGTAGGTGGAACTTCGGGCACTGGTTCCAAACAGTTGCCAGGATACCTTGACACCTGTGACCATCGGTATCACCAGCTACTGCTCTGTGTCTGAATTGCAAAGAATGCTCTCTTTGGCTCGGCAGCTATCATGCGTAAGGTCCTTGATTTGCAATGCTCTGGGGTGGGCGGTGGAGTTCTTTTGGTCCTATTTTCCTCCAAACCCTCTCGTGTTTCCTATGATCGATATCTAGAAAGTGTTGTGTGTTTCTCTCTGTTGTTTACCTACCATCATATTTAACATCCATAATTATGATGTAATTGTATGGCTCCACCTTTGGCTGCTGGATGCTAGCCCGGTGGGTGCCAATCTCCGGGCTTCGGCCGAGTGTTGTTGGATAATAACAACTTGATGTACAGCAGGGCATACTAAACCCCTTGGACAGGGAGCTACGAAAAGGTTCACGAGTCAAATTTCTCAGTCATGGATCCCTTACATGTACATACTGAGCTAGGCCACCTAGCCCGGCCCGGCAATACAATAACATACTTCGGAAGTACTATTAGCAAGAGTACATTATGTACTCTTGTTGAGTGTGTACATGGTTAGCATTTTACCGCCGGTTCACCTTAACTTCAACCGTCGGCCTGTACCGTTTCTTGTGTGTTTACAACAAAGACCTGATTAGCATTTTGTTTTCCTACACAACGATCGGCTTGTGATGTCACCCTAGTTGAACCTTACGGTGTTGTCACCCGGTAAACAGAGCGTTCTATCGTCGAAACAATACCAAACCGACGGTATTTTGGGTCCTGGGTGCGAGTACCGTTGGATTTAGCGGCGTAAACAGTAAAATGCTAACCATGTGTGTGTGTGTAGGCTAGTACATGTATATTACACCTGAGTCTTGGTATTATTAGTACTAGACAGGCGCAGAGTGAACATACCTGCCTACGATACTACCAGGGAGTCATTCACACTCAGGGTACCGAGGCTCCGAGTGTGTACTGATGACTCCCCGGTGTACTACGCATATCATTGGCAACGTTTAGCCTCTCACCAGCTATTTATTGCCCAGGTTCAGCATACGTTTTTCTTCTTTTCTTTTTATGTTCACCACTCATCCCCCATTTTTTTCTCTAAACATTTATATATTTGTTGGTCCCATCGGCCCTTCATATTTGTGCAGCTGCACTGTTGTTGAGCTTCCGATGTAAAACAAAATTTAATAATATTGATGATGACGACTCCAAGATCGTCCACGGTAGAAACCATGGTAACTAAGCAGCTGGGTGTCCTGTCACACGGGGTCGGCATGCCATTGTAGCCTGACGTAGTCGCCCCAGGTCCAAAATCCTATTTTCATCCATTCAGTGATCATGGTCTAGTAATAACTACATTGTACTAGTAGCATGCCAGAGAGTTACAGTCAACTTGGCTAATAACGACTGCGGATATACATGTAGCGACAATTCGCGAATAACGACAGCATTTCCATGCCCAGAGCAAAGTCCCTTCCAACTGTAATAATATTATACATGTAATGAGACTTCGGGTGTAACGACACTTCGCGATTAAGGACACTTTCTTGATGCCCCACCGAGTGTCGTTATATGCGAAGTTGACTATGTACTGTAAAGTGAGAAGCTTTCGCTAGAGATGAAATTTCGCTATTTTCGCGACCATCACACATTCGCAAATATAAATCGCTGCGAACTGCTTTGTAAATTTTTAAATTGTATATAGTGCACGATCCAGCTGAATGGATGAAATCGCGATTATTTGAATTTATTTCTCATCGTGAACCAGCGCAATTCTTGAAAACGCTAAATTTGCGCGCCGCGAAAGTTTGTCGCTTTACAGCAGTGCCAGTAGAGCACAGAACCAAGACATCACCAAGGCAACGCAGCTATGCACAACCGTGTGCTGGACGTGCTCAGTCTTTTCCCCATGCCGTGTGAATACTCAATTTTCAGTCACCCTGGTAGTAAGCAGTCTCAGCCGACCTAACACACACACACACACACACACACACACACACACACACACACACACACACACACACACACACACACACACACACACACACACATACACACACACACGTACATGTACACACACACACACGCACACACACGTACATGTACACACACACGCACACACACACACACACACACACACACACAGTACAGCCAGCCGTGGACCGTCAAAAGCCGGGGCGGTTAGCCATGATCGGTCTTGCAACTGTACATTGGGGGTGGGGGTAGCAGTACCATGATTATGGTACTACCACACCACACCAATGACAATGTACAGTTAACTAGTTGCGCTCACTGAAACCCAAGCCAAAGTGAAAAACTGGTGCCCTGGACCACTTCCGATTACGTCACTTTACGTATACATGTGTATGTCAAGTCGCATTCCGAATGCGAAATGGTACAGTGCCATTTCCAGGGCGTCAAGGGCCGTGCAGGTTGAGGGCGCAAAATGTGCACTTTGGGTCCGATTTCACCGAGCACAGCTAGTTGTACTATGGTGTGGTGGTGCATTCCAATTTCCAAACACAATCCAGAATGCAATCAACAGACACAAGTCAGGCGACTGGAACAATATTATGACAATGATAGTTGGACCAACGACAGTAAAAACACGAAAACAGCACGAAAAATAAACAAAAGCCCCATACGCGCCGGATGTCACCGAGCCCAACTGTGCTATGATGTAGTGCCGCGTAACAGTAGTGGTACGTTCCAAACATAATCCAGAATGCAATAAACAGACACAAGTGAGGTCGGACTGGAACAAAATCAATAGGACATGATAGTTGGACCAACAACAATAGAACAGCACAAAAATAAACAAAAGTCCCATAAGGCACGCAGTACATGGAGCTGATAATAGTACAGCTGACGGGGATTTGGAAAAGTCAAGTTGTGCTGTGGCATCGTGTGAGAACGAGTACAATATCTCGGATTGCTCATCAGCAGTCAACTATATATGGCACCCGCCTCAGGCTGGATCAATCAAATGGGCATTTATGAACATAAATCGGTCGCTGAGCAATTTCATACGGTGGCAAAGGTTCCAAAACTTTCAGGCATGGTCGGGTTAAAGGGGAAGTATACCCTAAAATCAAATTTTCACCAGTTGTAGTCTTCGGGGTGCTGAGTCGAATGGTCTTGGTCCGAGGAAGCTGAGGCGCTCCCTTCCTACTTGAATCCCAATCGA